AGAATGGGTTTTAAGATGGAAAATCAGAAAATAGGTGTACTTACTTGAGTAACAAGTCAGGAAATAAGGGACATGTGAGCAAAAATGAAAATTAAAAAAGGATTAAAATTGAAAACTGAAAATCTGATTAAGGGCCCTCATTTGTGCCTATAAAAGGCAACATACTTACCTTCATTGGGAAGTTTTTTGGGAGCTCTAAAATTCCCCCCCAAAAGGTGTTCTACAAGCCCTAGATCTGACTTTGAATTTCAAATTTCCAAAAGCCAAATCTGCAATTCTGTAGTTCCTTCTAGTCTCAATTATTCAAAAATCCAAAAACAAACAAAAATACAAGAGAAAAAAAAAAGCACTGTTACATTGATTTTCTGGGTTAATTTTGATTTCTAGGCATTGATTCTCTTCTCTTCTAGTTGCTGAAGCTTTTCTGAAGTGTACTCGGGTTCAGTTGGGTCTGTTTTGGGTTAAAATTGATGCTGTAAAATCTCCAGTCCATTCCTGGGTATTTTTGAAGCTGTGTTGGTTCTAAATTGTCACTGCTGCTGTTGCTTAACTTCGCTATTCGAATTCTGGTTGCTGCTCCTGCTATCTATTGCTACTGATCATTTTCCTTTCTTCTATTTCATTGTACTTCAGGTACACATTTCTGAATTCACTTCGATGTAATTGTGAATTGGAGTTGAAATAAAGATGTTCATCAGATCTATGTACGAAGAATGCTTTCTGCTATTTTTAGTTTGTAGTTAACTAGCTGTTTATAGCCGTTTGATCAGCCTTTATTGGTATTACATGGACAATAGGTATACGAATTGTATAAATAGGATTGCTGTTAAGCTGAATTGACTGTTTAAACTCCTATAGGACTGTTTATCACAATTGTGCAGTGTAATTCAATTTCAGTTGGCTTTGAACATTGTTTAGAATTTCTATCACAAATGCTTAAGTTCTGTAATTAAACAATGGACTGTTAGACCCTATGAACTTTGTGTTGATCAATTGTATGGCTGTGATTTCAGTTTTAGCCTAGTTAATGGTAGTGACTCACTGCACAAGTTAGAACTTGAAGTTTAAGTTTAGAACATGAAGTTTCAAATTCGATAATTCCATATGTATTGACAGCTTAGTTCATTGTTGGTTTTTTCGTCTAAATAACTTCGGAATTGCGAGTTTGCATTCGAATGGCCTTAATTCAGTAGCAGGAAATAACTGATTAGTTAAGTTCAAATCAGGAATTAAAAGCATCATTGGAATACGGATGGATTAACTGTTAGGTTTTTCATTATGTTAGTTCATATATTAGATTAAATAATAGTGGTAGTTGATGTTAATTAAATATGATCGAACAGTATAGTTTTGGGTTCGCATAATCGTGGTCGTAAGTTGGTAATCATATTGGCATGTTGATAAACTGTTCTCACCCATAGTTGTTAATCGCTTTGAGTAATTAGGGTGGTTCCATTTGAGCTTGGCAAAGCTTGGACTGTCTAGGCTGTGAAGAAGGGACTCAATAGGCCTAAAGTTAATTTGCTCTTGGGTATCTAGATGATTATTGGCCCAGGCAGTCCGGTTCTAGTGCAAATAAAATCTGGGCCTGCCGCCCTTCCTATTGGGCCGATGTCATGTAATTGGCTGAATTTCAGTCCTTTGGTCCTAAAATCGTTAGGTTCGGATAAAATAATCAATTAATTAGGACTTTTTCTTTTATTATTAGAGACAAATAATAATAGAAAATCATAGTTGCTTTAGGTTTGCCTTTTAAATAATAAATGAGATGAGCCTCGCTAAACAAAATACATAAATTGCGGGGCCCTCTCTAAATGTCTATATTAAAATACTTAGAATTCGGGACGGGCCGTTTAGCGAATTTCACGGCCCTCCTCAAAGATAATAATGCGTTATTTGCTTTAGGCGCACATTTTAATAACATTACCTTCTTAAATTCGGGTGTGCATTTATGTGACCTAAATCCAAATCCCAACGAAGTTGAAATGTGTCGAAGACTACGAGTGCATTTATGTGACGTGGTTCGAGACGTATTTTCACGACGTTGCAATTCTCCTTAAAAAATAATAATAAAAGCGGTTCAAAGTTAAAAAGCACATAAGTTGAAGCATGTTCTAAAATCAGATATTTAGCCAAATATGACAGTTGAGCGACCGTGCTAGAACCACGGAACCCGAGAGTGCCTAACACCTTCTCCCGGGTTAACAGAATTTCTTACTCGGATTTCTGGTTCGCGGACTGTTAAACAGAGTCAAACCCTTTCCTCGATTCGGGATTCAAACCGGTGACTTGGGACACCATAAATCTCCCAAGTGGCGACTCTGAATCTTTTAATAAATACAAATCCCGTTTCGATTGTCCTTTAATTGGAAAAACTCCTCTACACCTTCACGGGGTGTAGTAAAAAGGAGGTGTGACAGCTCTGGCGACTCTGCTGGGGAAAAGAACCCAGAACTTTGGTTCAGGGTTAAGAATTCGAGCTTAGATATATTGTTGTATTTGGCTTTATCTGATTTTCCTACATGTTTCATGCTAAATGTGCAAAATGTTGCTTTTTACCGCTTTGATATTATCTGAATTGTATATAAACTATGGTGAATCCCTTCTCTTCTCACCTCCGGGGATGTGCTCACTGGTGGAGACTCCCTATTCTGTTAGTGTCATACCTTAAAGTAAGAAAGAGGCCGGACAAGTTAATAAGCCGGATGGCCTTTTGGTTCCCGGTACGTAGCCCCCTCCTCGACTCGAGTTGTCCGCTCGGGTGCACAGTCTAGAACATATACCCAGGTTTTGAACCTAGAATAACTTGACTTCATGCCGGATCCCTATTAGGAACGCTTATCTGCATCACGTGCATTTTGACTTAAGGGACTCAACACAGGGGTTGGGTCCGTCTAGGACAGGTGTACCCGGAATAATGGACCATCCTGATGCATCTTACTTGTGCATTTATCTGTTTTGGACTCGCATGCTGACCGACTTTGAATATCTGGAAAAATTGAAAAACAAAAAGAGAAAAAGAGAAAATAGCAGTGTAGAGAGTTAATTACCTATATTAAAAAGAATAATGTCCAAGTAGTGCCGAAATTCTACCGGATTTTTGAGAAAAATGAAAGAAAAAAAGCAAAGTATTTTTTTATAGTTTGTTTTGTTTGCCAATGGAAAAGAAAAACAAAAAGAGTTTTATTTTCAAATTAGTTTGTTTTATTTGCCATTGAAAAAGAAAATATAAAAAAGAGTCTTGCTTTCAAAAATAGTGTATTTGCCAATGAAAAAGAGTTTTGTTTTCGAAAATAGTTAGTTTTATTTGCCCGAACTACGCTGGTTTGATTCTCACCGGATGTGAGATACGTAGGCAACCCTCGTCGGGTCCAACCACCCTTTTTCAAAAATAGCCAAAAATACCAAAACTTTAATTCTTGTCAAAATAAGTCGGGTGCCGCCATTCTTGTTTAAAATAAGCCGAATGTCCCCAAAAGGGCACCAGAAGACTATTTTTGCAAGAACAACTACCCTGAGTCATTTTTGAATGGTTTGCGGGCACAGCCTTAAAATCACCCTCCCGGAAGTGCTGAGAGGCCGTATTTGCAAAACCAAGTCTTTGCTTTCTTAAATAATTTTTTTGAAAAATAGCCACTTTTCTTTTAAGTCACAATAAGTCAGCTTTCTTTAAATAGTCACACTTTTCCTTAGAACTCCTTGTCGAGGATGACCCAGTTGACATTGAAGCCTTCTCAGTCTTGCGCAGGCCCGTGGCGATGCCGAGTGATGCCCCGCGGGCCCCAAGGTTTGAAGCTTTGATGTATTCCTAGTTAATCGAGTCTGTATTTTTGTTTTCGAGTCTGTTTTTGTAACTCCCCTTTTTGAGAAAAAGAAAAACAAATAGTCTGGTAGCTTTTGTAATCGCAGTTGTTATTAATGAAAAATTGAGAAAAGAAAAGAAAACCTATTAAAATTTTTATCCGAAAACAATGCTTGTTCTGATTATTTCATTAAAATTGGTTGTATTGTATTATTAAATCCATTATTCCTGAATAATGAAAAGTCCCATTTTCTGAAACAACCGATTTGGTATGGTGGGATTGTTTCCTATTTTTCTTTCCAACTATGCCCTTACTTATTACTCCACAATTTTATTTTACCCTTTACCTTTTTTTCTATTTTAACTCCAAATCTCCAACCTATAACCTACTTTGTTTTTTCCAGAACTTCTGCTGCCAACGTTAAAGGTGTTTTGCCGCCTTCTGTTTTATTTTTTCTCCTAATTTGCTTGTAACTCGATTCTAATTAGCTGTGCTCCTTTGTTTTGCCTTCTTCTGTCTCGCTCCTTTGTTCTGCTTTCTTAAGGAGGATTCCTATGTGTGCATGTACAAAATTTTGCATATGTCAATACTATATGTGAATATTATTCAAAAATTCAAATAATTTTATGCTTAATAACAAGAGGTCTTTCGCGGAAAATAATGTGCATACATTACATACATGTAAGCCATCTTGTTTTTTTTTTCTTTTTTCTTTTTTTTTTTTTGCGTGCGCATAGAATGGTGTGGTTAGAGGCGGACCTATGCTTAAAAAAGAGGGGGTTCCGAAACCCGTTAACTTCAGCAAAAAATCTGAATAAATAAGTGTATATATGTTAAAATTGGACATATATTTTGTTTGAAACCCTTAATATCAAAAGTCTGATGGAAGTACTGGTTGAATAATTCGCTCATGTGCTATTCACCACCTTCAAATTCTAGATCCGCCTCTACGTATGGCAGTGGTAATCTGTGCTATTATTAGACTAATCAAATGAAACTTTGCTTAGCCTAGTCTTTTCGAATGGAGGTTTCATTAGACTGATCAAATAATCTTAGTATACCATATTGTATTAAAATTTAATGCTTTAATTTTGATACTTCTACTCTTTTTGGTAATTGAACATTTAAAAACCTAAAAGTTCACTATGAAGAAGAAATTTCAAGTGTAGAAATTTAAAAGAAGAGACATAATTTCAACAATGAAATTTCAAATATCATTACCTTCAATTTGTTTCAGTATTGGCTAAAGCCCGTACTTTACAAGAAATATCATACAAATTTACATGACAAGAGGGATTTTCCCACTGTACAAGTTCTTTAATTCCCTTCTCAATCTCTTTAGTCTCCTTCACAAGATTATCCATACAAAAACCAAATGCACTCAAACTTAAAACCAAATCTCCCTTGAGTTTCTCATCATTTTTACCACCTTTTAATATAACATCCACAACTTCATTTGAATGTTGAAGAAAAGAAACTAAGTTTTTCTCAATTTCCTCTTCACTTGAAGACCTTATATTATAAGGGGTTGGTAATTTTCCCAACTCAAGATCAATTGCAACTTTCTTCTTCTCAAATTCCTTGTCAAGTACCACAAGTGATTTTACCAAACTAACCTCCTCAAAACATTTTGTATAAGAGCCAATTAAATCCTTAAAAAGCATGAGGTCAGCATCTAGTTTTTTCACTATTGTTTTCCACATATTATTGTCTATTTTCTCAGATTCTTGTTCTAGGAATCTTAGTGCTTGTGACCCAAAAAGTAAATATTCCACCATTTTTGATAATGACCCCATAAGCTTACCATAGCAAGCATTACTAAAAGGCAAAAACCAGAAATTGGGCTCTGCGTCAGCTTCCGCAATGAATTTTCCTAATTCATTTACGTGGAATTTTAGCTTCTTTTGGCTTTCTTCTAAGCTATTTTTACTATATGAACTGAAACTTATTGAGTCAATGCATTCATGCAAAATTCCAAAACTTTTGGAAAGTTGGATTTTAGCTAATGTAGAAGCTCTTGTTGGTTGTAACAAAATTTCCACCATTATTGAACATGATAATCCAATGAAAGTTTCTGTAATTCTTGCTATGGCAAATTCACTTGGGGGACCAAATCCTTTTCTACCTAGAATTAGTACTGCCCCGATAACAGCAGAAATCCCACCTGAGCAAAAAGCAAAATGAAAAAGATTAGATACAGATCCAAAATTTAAATATGATTGATGGGTTAAACTTTCGATTTTAATATATGCTGCTATGTTAATAATTTTTCACTTATATACCTATACTCCATATCGAAAATAATGGTTCAATTGAACCCATAAAATGTATAGTGCATACGCCTTTGAAAGAGATTTTTTACCCTGCCCCTTTTATATCTTAAAATATTCAAGAATTAATCTAAATAGTCGGCCACCTGGTTAACTAAGAATAGTCGACAGATATATATGATATTTGCAATTCATGTATATTAATATATGTATAATCATGTTTAATCAGTATATAATCAATATATACCGGCTAGAAAAGTAAACAATAAACCCAGCCAGTTAGTTGTGTTAACATTCCTAAAATATTTTGCATTGGACAAATTTCATTACTCGGGGTCTTTTGGTTGGAAAGATGTTATCCCAGAATTAATTATCCCGGGATTAGTTATTCCATCTTTCCATGTGGATTAAAAAACACTATAATCCCGGATAACTAATCCCGAAATTAATAATACCATAATTTTCTCCCAACCAAACATGGGATAAACTCTTCTTAAATTTAATTCATGGATTAGTTATTCGTTATCCGAAATCTCAACTTAGTACTAATATATATATAAAAATTTTAACTTTCGTAGCAAAAAAATAAAAAAATGAGGAAAAGAAATTCCACCTGCTTGGCCGTACATTCTGCTACGGCTCAAAAAGCTGCTGACAATGAACCAAGGAAGCAGAGACAAGAACCTTGTTTGCACAAATCTTTCAAAGAGAAAACATCCTAAGACACCATATACTGTTCCCAACACTGTCCCTTGAGCTTTAACATTTGCAACTTTGAATGTTGCTTCTCTTGTTGCTGCTAAGCTTATTGCAACCGGCAACCCAGCCCAAAATCCATTGTCCTTACTATAAATAGATCCAAAGAAAATTGCAAGGCCTAAAGAAAGTGAGAGTTTGAAAGCAGCCATAAATCTTCTGCTATTTATAGTAATTGCCAAATTGGTCCATGTCTTTCTCATATATCTTTCTTCTTCATCTTGTTTCTTGGATTCTTTTTTGGATGAAAGGAAAGTTGGTTTGTTTAATAGGAGTTTAAGGCAAAAAAGAAAGAATAAAGAAGGTAAATCTTTTTTGGTTGGTTGAATTGTTTGAAGTGTTTGGAGGAACTTTTCAGCATTTTCTGCATTTGATTCTGGGACAGTTGCTGACTCAAGGGAAATGTTTTTGACTTGCTTTGAAATGTGTTCACTTAGTGTTTCTAGACCATCTTTTAGCTCTGAGTTAAGAATATCAAGTGGAAATGGAGGAGATTTTTCCAATGCAATTTCCATTCCTCTTAAGGGTGTTTGAATTTCTTCAAATTTATTTCCTGGGTTGTCCCCATATGGTCTTAAAAACTTGAATGGAAATCTTTCCCACTTCATGCTTTCCTGTTAGAAAAATTATTTTTGTTAAAAATGAGGACAAGTTTAACTTAGAATTACTACTGAAATAGTAGTTAATAGTAACTATCTTGTTCGGACTCTCCGAAAATATTGTTACACCCGTGTCGGATCCTTATTACAAAATACATTATTTTTGAAAAATCCGACATGCATCCCACGGCATTTTTGACGAGTCCAAACAACATAGGTTAATAAATATGAGTAGTAGTTTATCATGGGAGCTTACTTGTTTGGATTTAATTGCTTGGAGAAGTTTGGGTCCATTGTTAACTAAGGACTTGGCTTGAGAAATTAAAGCAAGTGCAGATTCTTTGTCTTCAGCTGAGAATGCCTTCACAAATAGATTAATCCTCTCCGAAGCATTTTCCACAAAGAGCCTGCTTTTCTCTTTTACCTGTAAACATTAACCAAAATCTTGTTAAAATAAACTATTTATTCACATCCGATATATATATATATATATATATATATATATATATATATATATATATATATACACACACAATCTCTTGTAGAAGACTATAGAGATTATATATATACGCACTAGGTAATCGCACATCACACAAGAGATATAAATCATACTAGACAAGCCCGGTGCGATGAGCTCTGACTGAGAGACTGCTGGTGACGGGAATTAGTCCAAGATTCACCCAACCAACTCAGTTAACCCTTGTGAGCAGATTAAATTATATTGATACTGTAAAAATATACTGATTTTTTGAAGACAAAGTGCATGCTAATGTTGAAAATGAAACGAGTAATAATACATTTCACACTAACTTTCATGCCATTTAGTCAAGTAGTGATCAGTAGTAATTAAACTCGATATACCGCTAGTGCGCGCCCTACTACTTTTATTTTCAACAACCACGAGAATTAAAGAGAAGTTTAACAAAGAAATAATTCTAATTCTCACCTCACAACAAGCAAGGTTTGGATAGGGCAACAGCAATGCTAAAACACAAGCTCCAACTCCAACAGCAGTGCTGGCCGCAACATGAATCGGATGCATAACCGGTTCAGTTTTTCCACCATTAATATAACCTATAACGTACACAATAACAAGCTGTCCTAGCGCTATGCGCTTAGCTATCAAGTGAGTGTTTTCGGGTAGCACCACGACAAACGCGCTTAGTGCCACGGCAATAGCCGTGGTACTAGCCATGAGCCGGGCCGGGCCGATCAACCAGAGGCTCAATATAGCAGGACAAACACCTTGGACCGTGGCGTAAAGCGCAAGCCAACAACAGCGCAAAGTGTCACCTAATGTTGCATTAGTTATAATAAGAATAACAGTAACGTAAGAAAATGCTGGGAATGCGACTTGGGTCTTGAAACATTCTGGCCCGAAAAGGGTGGCTACACCAACTATGGAGCACGCCAAGGCGGTCCGAAAGGCGGACGCTAGGCATGTTCGCCACACAGCTCTAGCTCGAATGGATTCGAAGCTAGAGGTTGCCATTTTAAAGAAATGAATCTATGATTTTTGGAGAAGATGAATGACGTTTTTTTGGTCTTGGCTAAGTTTAGTTAAGGCTTTGAATTCCTTGTTTTTGTGACGTTCGAATGATTGGAAAAAATTGAGATAGGAGAAGGGTTTTTATAGAGTTGGATTTTGTAGGCCAGCACGTGAGAAGTGGTGGGATCCCTGTGGGGTTGGGGTACTAAGGTGGAAAACTACGCCAGCCAAGAACGTTCTATGAGAAACTAATTAGGGTGAATGAGTTCATTAAATTTAGTATTATATGGATGAGGATAAGTAGATTTTATAAATGAGTTGACAATGACCCTTAGACTATGGATTTCGTCACGATCTCAGTCATTTTTTTCAGTAGAAAATGCTACAATGAAGTAAACTTTAAAAGACAAAGGAGAATCAAGATTTTATTTTAGTTAATTTTAATCCTCATTGATCCATCCTTGAGCAAGCTCGTTCCTAGAATTATCTATATAGGCATCAGTTTTATTCATTTAAAAATCAAGGTTGAGACATCATTAAGTAAATTAAAGTCTTCTTTATCCTGACAGTTAAAATTATTAGGTGAGATAGTAACACAATTCAATATGATATTAGAGCAGACAATGGTTCTAATTCGAATCTTACCACCACCCATTATCTGAAAGAGAATTTCACATGCTGGACTATGAAAAATAACCAGATTAATTCGTACGTGAGAGGACGTGTTCATACATGTAGTCCATCTTTTCATATGTACCATGAAAACTATTGAGATTAACTCATACGAATTCTTCATGTCGCCTTAAAAAGCTTGTGGTACGGCTTGGAATTTTGTGTAACGACGTATTTATGTGGTAGTCTTGATGAAATGGCACTTAAATATAGAACTTTGGTTAGCCACAATGAGTGACTCACATATATTAACAAAACAGTTTAGGACGAGCATCAAAAGAAAGTGTCATTTTCCCTCAATTAATAGCTCAATCTTCACCTTATCATCAGTGTAGAAAACAAAGCTAAGCTTGTTGTTGTGCAACGGCGAAACTAGGAATTTCATGAAAAGTATTTAAAACTTAATATATACATATAGAAATAATTCTTGTTTTGTATATATTATAAATTTTTTTATATACCGTACAATTTTTTGATGAAGGGTATTCGGTTGACCATCTTTCAATGTATATGGCTACGCCACTGTTGACGTCCATAAGTCCAAAATCCATATGTCAAGACAATACGTTGAAGACATGCACCTTAGACCATGTGTGCCTCAAAGAGATCTGCATTATCAATTTGTTGATATTAGCAGCATCAAGGGGAGAGCTAGAGAAATAAGTACGTGTTTGGACAAACTCAGTATCTTTTTGATTAGTTTTTATATTTATATTAAAAAAATTTATTAAAAATATATATATTTTAAATAAAAACCCAATAATTAAAATGAGTTATGAATTTAGTGACAAATATAGAACAAATAAACTTCAAATTCTGGCTTACCAGCTCACCATTTGCGTCCCTAAGGAGTTCTAGCGGCAGCTTATTATCGTACATACATTTGGTACTTTCTTGTAAATAAGGGTACAGTGCCTAAAGGATTACAAGAATATCCACTAAGAATAGTTTCAAGCACTAGCAACTTCATTTACTACTGTATTAATTAGCTAGTGCTGGTTGGTATGTTACACCAAAATCATGATATTATTGTCAAAAATTTACATCTCGTTTAAGCTTATGTTATTACGAAACAATTGTCATATCTGATGATTTATGCCATTTCTTAGTCTTTCAAGTCATTTGGAAAAAACTATTACAAAGAAAATATTTTTACTTTTGGACATAAAGAAAAAAAAACAATATATATCTAGAAACTTCTATTCTTAATTCTACCTTAATCTCAAGCTTGCTTCTTGAAATTAATGTTTAGGGTTCTAATGTAGGTTACATTGTCAACACTAATATAATTAATTATTACTAACTACATAACTTAGTATGAATAAACAAAGATTAGATCTACCAAGTTCGATGGGCAATCTAAAAAGAAAAGACAAGATATCATGTTCCTTAATAGTGTCTTATTCTGCACTTAATTACAGATTAATTAAAGATTAATATCCTTTGACAATAAGATGCCAAGCATGGTATTGCTCAGACTTGATGTGCAAAAAGTTTAATGTGCTAATCACCTATTATAATGCTAAGTAAAAGAAACGCAAGCTTGTCGTACGGCTTGAGGACAAAAAACAATTTAGGTGTAGGAAAAAGCTAAATATTGAACAGTCAATATTTAATAATAAAAACATTTGTGTGTAGAAATAGTGGCATAACCTTAGGATTTCCACTATGAATAAGTTAGGTTTTGGTTGCATGCCACATGAGTTAATTGATCTTTGAAGAGGGAAAGGGTCAATTGGGACGTGGAAAAAAGACTCCCTTTTATCTTTTTTTAATATCACACCAAGTTAGTTAAAGCTAAAGATTAAATTACATACTATTCTTCTACAACTTTTTATATTCATAAGGATATAATTTTATAGTATAAAATTCTTGAAAATTCTTGAACAGACGGGCAATCCGGTGCATTAAGCTCCCACTATGTGTAGGGTCCGGAAAAAGGCCGGTCCACAAGAGTCTATTGTATGTAGCCAATAACAGTTTCTCAATCTTATGTATCCACGGATACCTCAAGCGATTGGTCTATTATCGGAGGCAGTAGCAGGGCCAGGAAGTTAAACTATACTTACAATGAAATTTTTTCCGGGTCAGATTAAATTTAAATTTGCGCCGGAAGTCCCATAGAGATAAAATAGGTCCTCAATCCCAAATGTCTAGTTAAAAATAAAAAAAGTCTTTACCCCCCACCATAATCCTGATCAATTTTACCCTAATTCTATATATAGAGAGAAAAAGAAGAGGATAGTGCGGTTTTGGCTTATGTAAGCTATATTTGGTGGTTTTTTCTTCCTTTTGGTTGGGTCCTTGTTTGGTTGGTGGAGCATTACGTTAGTTAGTGCACGTACAAACACAAGCATATCACCATCTATCAACTTTCTACTAACAAAGCTGACATCAATAAAAGAATGTAATAGAAAGGCTTCCCTTGAAATTGGTAGATTTTACATAATGGGTTCCAATATATGTATTACATTACATTACATCAAAATAAACAAGCAGAAATTTGTCGGCACTCAACCTAACTTATTCTTCCAAATGTTTATAGGGAAAAATCTCTCAATATGCATGCTGTCTGTGTAGCATAAGATGTGGAACTAGGTTACGTTGTTATGTGGTTTATTTGCTTTTTCTTAAAGATTTTTTTCTCTAACGAAAAAAAATATCAAAATTCATATCAGGATAACTGAAGTAATTCAAACTAATAAGAAGTCGAACGTTAAGTTAATGCAAGTTGATAGGTCCTTCAATTATCGAGTATATCATCGATTTCTCATACTTATCATAATAATGTTATCGATCTTTGGTGCTTATGGGAAACCCTATCATACACATTCACCTCAAGAGTCTTTGCAATTATTTGGCTTTTCTCTTTACTTCAGCTTTGAGATGATTTTAACCATCGAGGACCGGCTCAATGAGCACTTTGGGTAGTGCTTTTTTGTTTAACTATCTGACTTATTTAGAACGACGTTGAACCAAGACATGAAAGAATGCAATGCAGAAAAGAAAGGAATATCTCAACAAAAGTTAATTATTTATGGAAACCCCGTAATATACTCTAATGAGAAAGGAGATGAGAAAAGTAAAAATTAAATTCATACCTATTGTGTGTGAACTTCCACTGATACATTAGAAATACATACGGAATAAATAATAAAAAAGTTAAAGTAGTTTATTGTAAACTTAAATGGTTGTTTTAAACAACCAAATCTTTTTCTCATCAAAGGTGTTGACATATGCAGTTAGGACAAGGAAATTGCTAGGACAGATGGTGGCATATGAAGCTTTTCTTGTGAGTGTCCATTTTCTTTTTTATAGTGATTGTCCATTTAGTGTCAAGAACTTGATGTGAAGAATAAACTATTCTATTAGTATTCTTTGTCCACATAATAACCATTACTTAGGAAATATATAATAATAAAATGAAATGTTAGCTTTCGTATTAGGGAGGAAGGAGTTATAACCTATCAAAATTTCAGACTAGTTTCCTATGTCAGCTGTTTTATCTATTCAGGATCTGAAAGGTCACAGAATTTAAGTTGTTTAGGATTTTTATTTGTTAATTTTTCCTTTAATGAAATCTTAGTGCACAATGTGTAAGCGATATTTGAATATTCTTTAACATAAGTCACCTTACTTTTAACTAACATTTCTTTCTCCCCTTTTCTTGTACACGAACATTCCTAGCTGTTTCAGATTAGTCCAATAAAAGTCTTATTTCGTAAGGTTCAACTTATATAAATAAGGGTAGCTAGTGCATGAAGTACCTTGTATGTACGCAGAGTTTGGAGAAGGGCCGCACTTCAAGGGTGTAATGATGTAAGCATCATTGGCTAATTTTACGGCTTGAACCCGTGACCTATAAGTCACACGAAGATAACTTTACCGAATAACCATGCTCCAAAGCTCCCCTTCATTTTTCTTATATACATTAATAATATTTTTTTTAAAAAAATCAACTATGTTTTAATTTTGTTGTAGCACATAATTACTTTTGTTTTTCAAGTTACTAATCGAACTTTTTGTGAATAACTATTGGTAGTTATCCTTTACGTTTTCTAATAGTGTAAATATTTTTATCAGTAAATATAAAAGTAAATAGAGGTTGAGCTCAATTTATTTAATTTGAATATATATTAAAGTCCAATAGATCGAAGCCTTCGTCGTTGAAATGTATGCAAGTGGAAGCGCCGCCTTGAGTACAAAAGCAGATGTAAAGCAAATTGGAGGAATTCTTATTCAAAAACTCTTCAAATCTTGAACTAATCGAAAATAAACAGAGTCAATCAAGGTGGACAACTAAATAGCAACTTGCTTAAAAAGTATACAAAATGTGCGCCCCAAAGTAAATCCAAGAAAATGAAAAGAAAAGATAGATGCAATTACAATATAGAATAAAGGAAGTGAACAAAAGAAGATACGATCTAGAATACATAA